GCGGTTAAATATATTTGTTGCCATCCATGCTCAAATAATTGGTTTGGTGCATTGGTGGCTAAGTGCTCCTCTTATCTCCTTTTTGTCCTTAAGATCAGGGGTCCGATCCCCATACAATTCTTTTTGATTAATTACAATAATTAATATATAAATTCTCAATTTCTCACACCCTTTTCAATTACCAACATATCCCTATGCCCTTTCTTTCTTTTCAATTAACAAGCAAATACATTTTTTTTTACATTTTTACAAAAATTCCCTTTTCCCTAGTTCTTTTTTATTTTCTTCTCTTAATCATTCTTTTGAGTACAAAAACTTTGAAATCCCTAAAAGCAAAGTACTCATGACTCGTCTCTCTCGGCTCTGAGGCTCTCAGTGGATTCAAAGCAGGAAAACCCCTGCTCAATATTAAGCGCGCTTTTAAAAACTTTTCTGAATAATTGTTTAGTTTGCTATATAGAGCGTGATATATTTAAAAATATAACTAATGATGTTATTATTGACCGTTTTCAATAAAAACTCGTCGAGGACAATTTTAAAGTGAATGATATTTTTTGCGAATATAGTATTAATATAGTTTGCTCGTCAACTTGCCGTTATCACAAAATTTTATATAATGGAACCAAATATCTATTTTAAAGATAATAGTGCACCCATGGTATTAAAATCCTGGATACGCCTCTGTATACACCCGCACACACCTTGTGTTTAGGAGAATATATTTACGCAGTTAAAAGGAATTTTTCTTTTTCTTTTTGCAAAATTGTGTTGCCAACAGAATCTACTTCTATTACCCTACATCTTGGGAACATCGTATATCGTTGTTGTATAACATCTCAAGGTCATGATGGCATGGTCATGGAAGCAGATCCAGGATTTATAATTGATAAGTCTGTTCATTAAACTTCTTAGCACTCAATTTATATACTGTACGTTTATAATCACGAGTTCAAATATATTATTTGCTGAGATTTTAATGAATTTTAATTTCAAAGACATAATCAGTTTCCGTTGAACCTGTTTCCTAAAGGGCACATCCGCCACTGCATGGAAGGCACTGTAAAGAATAGCAAAAGAAGAGTATTTTTCAGAGATCTTCTGCTAGCACAAGATCGTTAACTAAGACTGAAGGATTCAACTAAAGAAGAGGAAGCTTGAAAAGAGAAGAGAGATTTTTGAAAGTAGAACTTTGTTATTGAAGAATACTTTCTTGAATTTGACTTCATTACAAATCAACAACACACCTCCTATTTATACTTGTCTATGGATGATTCTAGTTAAGATTCTAGATAATGTACAAGGAAGATTCTAGTTAACCTTATCTTCTAACAACACTCTAGAATATCTAGATGTGTCTACTAGATAACCTTATCTTCCCACAATATTCTAGAACATCTAGATGTGTCTATTAAATACATATCAAGGATACTACACTAGGACATTATAGAGAAATCTATGTTTTTCCAAAAAAATCAACTTTACTTTATTTTTCACACTCCCCCTTAAAGTGATTTTTTGGAAGCTATCCCACGCTTGTCGCGGAAGAACTCAACCGATTCTTTAGGACGTGTCTTGATGAAGATCTCAACACTATTTTTCTTGCTCCTCTTTCTTCCCTAATGACTCGAGGTTCTTCAATTGGTCCTACAAAGAAACATGAGTATGTGTTGACGAAATTTTCATCTCTGAAGCGAGTTGGATTGAGAATAGTTCTTTTAGGCCTTCCTAAAACACTTGAATCATCTCCTTGTTGAGTTTCATATCGTTGAGTTCTCGGGCGCCCCCTTTATCTTAGCTCCTCGACAATTGTATTATCTAAATAAGTACTCGTGATGGGCAGATTTGATGCTTCAGGGTTCAAGGGTTTATAACCTGCCCTTCTTTTTCAACTCCATAATACAAAGAGACTTCATCGAATATGACATCTCTTGAAACAACAAAGAGATTAGTTTTAGGATCCATGTACTTCCATCCTTTTTTTCTTTCGTCATATCCGATAAAGATGCATTTTCTTTCCTTGGCATCCAACTTGCTTTGTTGAGAATCTGGAATGCGAACATAACTAATAGAGCCAAAAACCCTGAGGTGTTTCACGCTAGACTTTTCTCCAAACATTAATTCATAGGGAGACTTCATATTGTTTGGAGAAAGCGGCATCATGTTAATCACGTACGCTGCATATTTCATTCCTTCAGCCCACAAGGCTCTAGGTAAATTCTTGGCATGAAGCCATCTCTTACATGTCTCAGTTAAGTGTCGGATCTTCCTTTCAGCCACTCCATTTTGTTGTGCGGTATCAGCGCATGTCAGCTCTCTTTTAATGCCATGCTGACGATAAAAGGAAAGGAACTCATTTGACGTGAACTCACCGTCATTATCAGTTCGCAGTCGCCTTATTCTGGAATCGAGTTCACCTTCAACTGTTTCTTTGAACTCCACAAACTTACTGAAAACTTCTGACTTGTGCTTCACAAAATAAACCCAAGTGAATCTAGTAAAATCATCAATGAAAATTAGCATATAATAATAGCCTGAGGATGAAAGAGTTCTCGTTGGCCCCATCAAGTCACTGTGAATAAGGTCTAGTGGGGCACCTTGACAAGGATCTGTTAAATGGAAGACGATGTGCCTTTCCATATTGACATCATTCACAAACCTCTCCTCCGCCAAAAATTTTTGAGTTAGGCAATTCTTTTACTAGATTCAATTTTACCATGACTTTTAATTTATCCATGCTAAGATTTCCAAGTCTAGCATGCCAAAGATGTGTCTTATCATTGCTACTCATCTTCTCAATATATGAATTAGAGACAGATAAAACATATAAATTGTTAACTCTCTTACCGGAGTAAATAATATCTGCCTCGAGCACCTTAATATTTCGGAGAAACTTCACATCATGTGGGCCAAATAGCAAATAATTTTCAGCATCTACAGGATTTGCAACTGAAAATAAATTTTTCTTCATACCTGGAACATGATAGACACTGTTAAGAGTGATAGAGTCTTCTTGCTTCTCGTTGACTACAACAATTCCTTCCTTCTCCACTTGATGGACTGTATTATCTGTTGTCACAATGACATCATGTCCATTGTATTCGCAAAAGGTAGAGAATTTGGATTGATCTCCAGTGAGATGTTTCCCACATCCTGTATCCATGATCCATTCTCTTTCAAAATTTTTGGAAGCCATGGCATTTATTGCACGAGTCTCCGTTGCGAAGCACTTTTCCTAGTCTTCTTCTTTTTCTTTTTCTTTTTCTTCAGCAGCTTTCTTGGTTTGAGCCATATTGCTTTGGCTCAACAATATCTTTTTATGTGCCCGACTTTTCCACAACAATAACATTTTAAAAGTTTTTTACCGTTACTGGAAGACTCTCCCTTCTTTCCTGGCGAGCTTGAACCACTTGAGGATCAAAAGTGCATGATATCTCTTGATTTCCCTTTAAAGTTCCTCTTATCAGCGACAAGAGCATTTCCTTACCCTTCTTTGATAGATACACCAGCCATCTGTTTGGCTAGTAGCTCTTGTGACGACAACAAATTCTCAAATTCTTCCAAAGATGGTTGTTGAACCCATCCTTGTATCGTTGTAACAAATGAAATATATTCTGGCTTTAAACCACGAATAATAATTCTTCTTATTCGTGCTTCAAAGATAGCCTCGTCCGGATTCAATAGAGAAATTTCGGAACATAGATTTTTAACCTTCAAAAAATACTCGGCGATAGAGAGATTACCTTGAGTGGTGTTAGCTTACTCATTTTTCAAAATCTGTAGTCGAGCTTCATCCTTCTTGTTGAACAACCGAGCGAATGTCCTCCATATTTCATGAGCTGATTTATACCTTATAATATGATCAAATAAATTAGGAGAGATAGACCTCTTTAGGTTAAACTCCGTCTTAGCATTAATCTGCTTCCACTTCTTACGTGCATTGCTATTTCCCGGTGTGTCAGCAGGAGGACTTGTGTTACTCTCATTGACAACTTCCCACAAATCCTCACCAACAAGATATGACTTCATACAAGTCTTCCATACCTTGTAGTTGGACTGGTTCAATAACTCCATCCCCAGTCCATTATCACGACCACACAAATCCATTTAGAGAAACTAGTTGACTCAACCACTAACCCGACCTTGCAAATATATCTAGAAGCCAATATGGCTCTGATACCATGTAAAGAATAGCAGAAGAAGAGTACTTTCCAGAGACCTTCTGCCAGCCCAAGATCGTTAACTGAGACTGGAGGATTCAACTAAAGAAGGGGAAGCTTGAAAAGAGAAGAGAGACTTATGAAAGTAGAACTTTGTTATTTGAAGAAGACTTTCTTGAAGTTGGCTTCATTACAAATCAACAAGACACCTCCTATTTATACTTGTCTATGGATGATTCTAGATAAGATTCTAGATAATGTACAAGGAAGATTCTAGCTAACCTTATCTTCTAACAGCACTCTAGAATATCTAGATGTGTCTACTAGATAACCTTATCTTCCCACAACATTCTAGAACATCTAGATGTGTCTACTAAATACATATCAAGGATACTACACTAGGACATTTTAGAGAAATCTATATTTTTCCAAAAAAAAAAAAATCAACTTTACTTTATTTTTCTCACAGGCACAATTAATCATTTTGAATATGATAGAAAAAGTGATCGATACATCAAGTTTATACTGCATTTTCTTATAAACATGTGATTTCCACGGCCATATTTTCTTTTCATCGCAAAGTACCATGCATGTTTGTGTTAGCTTCCACTATTCTTTAGGTAAGTATTTGTTACTTTTGCCTATAAGGTTATGAGCTGACTGCATGAAAAGTACACCATATATATGAAGTATATAATTTAATTTGTCATAGAAAATTCATTATCTTTTAGATTTTAGTACCCGATAGTAGAGAAATTCTTTACACAGTCAATCAGTCATTTAAATGTAATCTGACACAGATCAATAATATTTCGCCAAAAATATTTAAAAAGAAAAATGAACTTCATGCTCAATTCATTGTTATTTTATATTTTTCTGAAGGGTCTCGACTATGCACTTTACACTTACCAGTGCTATTTATTCTTAAATTCTTGAGAAAACATGACTGTTTGTTTGCGTTTTTGTTATAGAAACAATAGACAAAACTGTCAAACATACAAAACTAACTCTTACAACAATTCCATATACACTCCTTCGAAAATGATATCCAATCAGTTAAAAGGAAAAAAGACAAAACATCATTGTATACTTGATAGCTGATACTCTTAACAACAAGAAATATATACGATGATGCAGTTCTACGTGTACTAAACACGCTACTAATTAATTACAGAGGTGAAAAGAGACAGAGTTTCCACTGTTTAATATCCAGGGAAGATAGGAGGAGGTGGTGATGCATAAATTGAACCAATGTTTGGTGGAAGGACAACATTTTCAAAAGGTGGAGGTGAAGACAACCTAGGAGGAGGTGGTGGTGGAGAGCGGACGGGTGGTGGTGGAGGAGGAGAATGAACCGGTGGTGGTGGTGGAGAGTGGACGGGTGGTGGTGTAGAATGAATTGGTGGCGGCGGTGGGGAGTGGACTAGCGGTGGTGGTGGGGAGTGCACAGGTGGCGGTGGAGAGCGAACAGGTGGAGGAGGAGAGTGAACAGGTGGTGGTGACGAATGTACCGGAGGCGGTGGTGAAAAGACTTGTGGTGATGGAGAGGAAGCAAGAGGAGGAGGAGGAGGAGAAGGAACAGGTGGCGGCGGAGACGATTTCAAAGGTGGTGGAGGAGGAGAAGCCTTCTTTTGGGTTGGTGGTGGAGTATAAACTTGAGGCTTTGGAGATGTTTTAGGGGTAGGTGGAGGATGATTAGGCTTTGGTTTTGGTGGCAATGGCTTCTTTTCCTTTTCCTTATGAGGAGGAGATTTTGATGATGATGCTCCACATTTAGCTTTACTACAATCAATAGGTTTGCTCACAATAGGTTGACATTGTTTTTGAGACTTTTGTTTTGGTCTATCAGGAAAACAATTATTAGTATCATCAAAAAACACATCTTTCCTCACATTTGGTTCACAACCTTTAGCCTCACCATTGAAGTAATTGAACGAAAACGTGAAATTCTTCAAATTTGGAAGACGACACAGATTCTCAGGTACGAATCCAGTTAAGGTATTGTGTGAAAGATCCAATTGTTCAACATGTGAAAGATCATTAAGAGTCTTTGGTAAGATCCCAGAAAATGAATTCCCAGCAACATCAAACACTGTTACATTCTTTAACAACCCTACTTCAACAGGCAAACATCCACCTAAATCATTGTTCATGAATACAATTTCGTCCAAGTTTGACATTTTTCCAATGCTATTTGGAATACAACCATGGAATTTGTTATTAGCAAATACAATAACAGAAGCTGAAGAATTTCCAATAGTCCCAGGTATGGTGGAGACGAATCGATTGTCATTCAAGAATAAAGCATCAAGATCTTTGTCAAACAATTGTGGAGGTAACTCTCCCTCAAAGTTATTAAACCTTAAATCCAAGTATTTAAGGTTAGGCATGTTTAGAACAACCTTAGGAAAAGGTCCAACAAGACGATTATTACTGAGATCTAACTCATGCATCAATCTAAGCCTGGAGAAACTCTCTGGAATAATTCCACAAAATCTATTGGAATTGAGATGGAACAGAGCTGCATCTGTCAATAATCCTAATTCTACAGGTAGATAGCCTGCTATATCTGCATGATTCAGATCAATGCCAGCAACAACAGTGACATTAGGGTCATCTAAAGCTGGCGAACAAAACACGCCCTTGTACTTACAAACATCTGGACCTTTCCAATTGTTGGTGAATTTATAAGGGTCAGAATATACAGCTTCTTTCCATGCCTTTAATGCAATGTAGGCACGTCTAAGCCTGGAATTCGGGAATGTGTACTTTACATGGACCTCAAATTCATAGTTATCAGGTAATACACCACTTTCAGGAAGTGTTGAGAGTTGTCGTCGTGCAAGAAGTGATACTTCATGGTCAGAGAGTCCAGCAGAGAATGAAAACAGAATAGAAGAGAACAACAAAATGAAAAAACGTCGATAGACCTGCATTTTTGGAGGAGAATTTTAGAGTGACAAGCTGCCTCGGATGAACCCCAAGGCTGCCCTATGGAAGATGGTTTGCAAAAAAGGACAGCTTCTAAAACAAGAAGAAAATTATGAAAGATAAAAAATCTTCATCATATGAGAAATGACGATTGATTGTTTTTTTTTTTTTTTGGGTGGGAGATGGGGTTGCAGATTATGGTCAAATTATGTCAATGCAGTGTTTTGAATTGAGTCATTAAAACACTTACTTGCATGAAGAAAAGGAGTGTATTTAGGGAACAAATGAGAGGCCAATGGTGATGAAGACTACAATGCATTTGACCAGAAAATAATAGACTAAGCAAAGATAAACCTTAAATTGCTCTAGACCGTTGGTTGACACCTCAAAGTAATAACAACAAAAACTGAATGGATTATTTTACCAAGAAGTTTGGATGTTTACTTTAGATTAACATGATTTTCTTGGGCTATTAGTACTAATTAATGTAAATGTATATTATGGAATAAGAATGTACGATCAAATATTAATACTCCTAACATTTTTATACCCTGCGTCTACAATGATTAATGTAAGATAATACATTTGGTATTGAAATTTTACTATTTTTTTGGTCTCTGAGGAGTTAAGCTTTGTAATTTGTTTATAATGCCTATATCTTTAAATGTATTTGGTATTAACATAATAATTTTTTGGTTACCAATGGAATTTTTAATTTCTTTCTTTTTCCTGTAATTAATGAGTCCTAAAGTTTTCATATAACGTTGTCTATTAACCATCTACTTCACCTTTGTAGCTATCACTAACCAAGTTATTAGTCAGTAGCATGGTGCTAAAATCTAATTAACAGCAGCAGATTGCCGTAGCACATAGCTTTGCATGCCACAAAATACTACAAACAAACATTTAGATGAATTGATAATTCTATCCAAACAAGAGCACTTTTGTGCAGGAACAGTCGTGGATTACTAGTGGAGCTCAGAAATGTATTAAACATTCAGACATGTAAATGTCAAAGATTCAGTATACTCTAATCTTCATAACCAATACATGTCAAAATTGCTAACCAACGAATTTCCTCCGTGTCATTTTTTCCCGCAAGACATTCTAATGTCAAGAAGCTTGACTTGCAGAGTAAATGGTAAAGGGCATAAAGTTATTCAACGAAAAGCTTTAGTCCAAATACCCACAAAATTTCTTGAAAAAGAATGTTATCTGGATAGAACATACTCATCACTGAAGAAACCGCATGCCAACTTCGACGAGGAAAAGCCATTTAGTAATCCCTCAGTTAGACGGTCTCTGGCATGCAACAAACAACTGCCAACTGATAAAAGCAATCAGCAATGAGCTGAATAGTTCAAAGCCTACCACTTTTGGAAGGTGCCAACCCAAGCCTCGCCTCAGATAACTGCAAACGCCACAGCAGTAGCTTAGCAGGTCTATTTTTTGAATCAGAAATGAAAAAGATGACTATAACACAAGCAGTCATTTTATCCGAAAAGAGGTTATTGCTTCCAGATCAGGTTCTTGTCTTACAAATTAATGCTGGATAAATTATTGCTAATTTTAGCAATGCAACTGCACTCCCTGTCCAACCCATTTAATGTCATTTGGCTTCTTGAGCATAAAAAATTATTTTCACAAACGGAAAAGGCCTAAAAATGCCACTCAACTTTCAGAAATGGTCCATCCATGCCATCCGTTAAAAAATTGCTATTTTCATGCCACTGCCGTTACAGAAATGGCCCATCTATGCCATTACTTGACTAACGGCTGAATTTTTTTTTTTTAAATATTTATAAGACCCACATTTCCACGTGTCCTGTCATTATTGGTCCGATTTAACCCATGCCCTACATAATTTTAACCTTGGTTAGGCCTATCTACTCAAACCTAACCCGGTTAAAACATACCCAAATCATTAACCCGGTTAAAACATAACCAATTTTCTGAAAGGGAGAAGAAACGCGTGTAAATGGAAGTGCCCGCTTTATAAGCTAATTGTTGATAGAGAATACTCTTGCAAAGTGCTAGAAATGGAAGTTGGTGTAAATCAAATGCAGGTAAAGGAAGGGTATCTATTAAGGAGCAAAGAAGTGGGTCCGCTAAGAGCAGATGGCAAAGGGCATTTTTGATTTCTCCATTAGATAATGGTTTGATTTGATTACTTGAGGCAAAACCCTTGTTAATTGTGATGCGCTCCTCCGACGATTTTTGGTGATTGTCCCTTTGCCGTTTGATGTGACTACGGTTCAAGATTTAGGCAGAGTTTTGGTTATGTCTATCTTATCCACCATATATTGCGAGGAATCAATGGGTTTTTGATTGGTGGATTGGGGGGAGGAGTGGAAGAGAGTTTACGGATTTTCTGGGGGCGAATGGGGACTTTAGAAAGGTTTGAGGGATTTGGGGGAATATCGACGGGAGGGTTTGTTGATAAAGCGGTGGAATTAGAATTGGGTTGAGATAGGGATGGAATTTGGGTTTCGGTTATTGATTGTGGTTGGGTATGTTGTAACCGGGTTGGGTTCGGGTAGATAGGCCTAACCAAGGTTAAAATTATGTAGGGCATGGGTTAAATCGGACCAATAATGACAGGACAAGTGGAAATGTGGGTCTTATAAATATTTAAAAAAAAAAAAAAATTCAGTCGTTAGTCAAGTAATGGCATAGATGGGCCATTTCTGTAACGGCAGTGGCATGGAAATAGCAATTTTGTAACGGATGGCATGGATAGACCATTTCTGAAAGTTGAATGGCAGTTTTAGGCCTTTTCCGTTTCACAAATAACTTCGGCATTTTCTGATGTGTACTAAAATTAAAATGGCCTCAATTTTACAATTTATGTGCAAAGGGCCCCATAGAGAGAAGGACTATCCGAATTGCAAGCAACTCAATACGATGGTGGGACATCCATATGTAAAAGAGAGAAAAAAAGAGTTAACAAGCCGTTCATTTCAGAAATTGGCCCATTTGGACTGTTAAATCAATTAAGTGGGATGCAAAGACTGATGTTCTTAGCACGATATAAATTTTGAAAAAGGTTCTGCTAGAGCACTTACTAGATACTGGAGAATATTAAAGTTTATACGGCCCAAAAAGAAAACATGAAATTTGCCAAACTAGAGTTGGTTCGTATTATTAGACAGAGACAACTTAAGTAGATATAAAAGGTCTTTTTTGTAGTAAAAAGGTCTATGCACTTTGCTAACTGATATGCCCCTTATTTCCAGCCATAGCCACTATCATTGTACATAAGAAAATATTTTAGAACTAATGCATCTTTCCAAGCAGTAGAAGCATTTGTACTGCTTCATTCATCTGAAGCAGCTACTTAAGATTTGGATTCATTCTGAATAAATGTACTTTAATAAGAAAACTGACCTGGTTATGGATGGCATTGTTGCCACAATCCCAGCACATGCATATATGATGGGGATCAATGTCTTGGGTTTGTTTTTCCGAAGCCACATTAGAGAACCCAATGCAGCTAGTGATATACTGAAAACCTGAAGTAAGAAGTAAGACCAAAAGTTAAAGTCGAAAAGAAGAAACGATAGGAAGGACGTGATAAACTTCATTATGACTCCCATATTATCTAATGATATATGAAGACAAAATTCTCTCTTCTCTCTTCCTTCTTTCATTTGTTTTTTTTTTTTTTTTTTTTGTGTGTGTGTGTGGGAGAAGGAGGGGCTGCACTGCAAAGGCTAATCAGTTAACGAGAAAGTACCAAATTCGCATTTGCTTCAAGGCCTTGCAAGATGTAGTCCCATGTGAACTCCAATCCTCTAGCACCCACCCAAAGAGGAGCCAATCTATGCAGAACAGAATCAGCAAAAGCCCACCCTGTGAACAAAAACAAAACAATAACGCTAAGTGAGAAAATTACAGCAATTTCAAAAGCACATATATTCGTTCTTTTTTCTTTTAGATACATAAATTTGTTTCAATTGCTACTCCTTGGTTTAATCTAACCAAAAATAAATAAGAATTAAAAATTAAAGGGTCAGAATGGAGGTAGATCCTAAGCCTCTCATTCAGCATTTTCTTTTAATCAAAACCAGTGTACCACAATAAGATCACCATGATGGGACTAAGACAATTATGTCCAACAAACAAGAAAAATACTATTGCCACGCTTCCCCTTCTTAAGTTGCCATACTGTTGATTGGAGCTCCCATTCTCAGTTATAGGACTCCTTTGACCACTTACGTCATCAATTTTAGTAAAATTTGAAATGATGAAATATGACTTTACCTCTTCAAGTTTGTGTTTTGACACGTTCGCCACAAGTAATGATCTGTCAATGATTAAAGAAACTAGTCCAATTTCTATTCATACTCAGATACTTTGTGTAGCAACCCACTTCAAATTCACAATCCACAACCTTGCTGAACACTCATGACATGGTTTTCTGACTCACTGGCAAAACATGTAAGGAAGCTGTTCGGGTGGACACTGTTAATCCTTACAAGACAAGATACCCATCTCCCCAAGGTCTCAGGCTAAAGAACTTGTGTCTTGGAACAAAATCTTCTCATGTAGCTCATTCAACCACAAAGCTTCAAGCACCCAAACCATTACAGAAGAAGTTAACATAGATAAGGTGGTAAATTCAGCCGATGAAACCTATTATCATTTATGTGCCTTCCATTTTATAAATACTCTTTTACCTTCTGAAGAATCCAGTGAACCAATTTAAAAAGATATTCACCAAATCGCATAGACCAGCATTTTGACATAAAGCTGACTTGTCAGACTAAATAGGTGTAATCACCCAGTAATCAAAATCTGACTGTTATTTCAATTCAGGCAAAAGTAAATCATACGCACCAAGTCCAACAGCTTGAAACTTATGATTCTGCGAAATATTTCTGTGCGTCAACTGTGTCAAAGCAAAATATAGGCCCGCAACATCTATAAACCCGAATACAGCCTTCAACAATTCCTACAAAAGGGAAAGGAGTGTTTCGAGATCAGCTATTAGAAAATGTTTTCTGAATAAAATACTAACAGAAAACCATCACTACTTTGACCATCAGCTATAAAAACCCGAATATTTAACTTTTTTGGTAGACATCAGCTATTCTTGCCAGGAAAAAGAAATGACACCAAAGATCAGCCTCCATAGAAAAGCTTTTAGTGTGTGGAACACATACTTTGACCATTTGATTCATCATTTATCCAAGTTTCTCTAACACAGTAAAAGATTAAATTTTCCTTTCATTAGTTTCAACTGAACCAGCCATAATGCATTGATTTCCCCATTTATTTCGGTTATTCCTTGTGCTCAGCACGAATCCAAATTCCTAGGGAGAGAAACCAAAAGAAACATTCCTCCTACCATGTTGAAACAATGAAAAGAGAAAATTGGAAGGGGTGGCGTTGTGGGTTCTAATTGTGTGTTTCTAACCAAGTTCCAATTTCTCAGGTCGTCCAACTTTGCTAGATGGATAAATCAAATGGTTGGGAAAAAGGATGGTTGAAGAAAAAGAAGACTCAGAAGTACTTCAAGCCCAGTCTATAAGCAAACCTACACTTAAACAAGTCTTGAAATATGGGTCGTCTATAGACAGTTAAATTCAATTGTGTTTAACCCAAACAAAAAGATCTATATTTATTAGTAGCTGTTGAAGAACCAAACCAAAAGCCATGGGTTCCTATTAATCATAATCAAAATGGAAAAATAGACGCGATCAGATAGTTTATAAGCTGCAGGTTTCTCATTCAGACAGGAAGCTTTCGCCACGCCCTGCTGCCAAGATGAGTTTAAGGGAAAAATAAAAAAAACAATAAAAGGGGACTGGGGTGTGATAAAGGCCAGCAATCCTATTTTAATGAAGCTATGACTATCTATTATAGAAGAAACATTAAATATACAAATTGATCCTGACAGCAATACGAGTAAAACGGCCAAAATAAGATGATACCCGTTATGATAATGGAAACATATTAAAAGGGGGATAATACATTACCTGATATGGATCAAAACTGTCGCTGTCGGATACATTAAGAAATGTTGCTAGACAAACTAGCTGAAAAGAAAAGAAGCAAAATGAGCTCAATGGGGATACCAAAAGGAATAAAATAAACAAAAATAGCTTGATCCAGCAAACTAAGTTCATATTCTTTGACATTGTTTCTGGTAAAATTGGTACTTAGAGCTTAAAACTCAATTCATCTCTCAGTTTCTCATTTCATGTTCTTGATGGAGAGAGCTAATTCCATTTAGTAAAAATAGGTAATGAATCCATAGTCAAGGCATAATTGAGCAGTAGTTATTGACCTTTACTAGTGCGGTAACAAGGTAAACAACAGCAGCTCTTATTGAAGTCCACAGCGTGTCATACTCGGACCTGCATAGAAACACCTTAGTTTCAACCTCTGTTTAAAATTTCCTTTTCAAAAAAAAATGTTCTGTTCAAAATCATGGTATTGGTTTAAAGAGGCCTCCCTTCCATGTCATGGAATGTGTCACAATTGAAAATCAAGGTGAGAAGATGATGACCTAATTCTAAAATTATAGAATCAATAGATAAAGGAACATAGCAACTCACCCAAGAAGGACAGATTAATATCATACGTAACAACAGTACAATTTGATTAATTTTGAAAGTAGACCATGAAAGTGATGGAGTAGAAAGAATACTATTAAGTATCACATTTAAATATCAAAGTCTAAACACCGCCACACCAGCAAACAAGAAACAAAAAATTATGGATACCCTGATGCAATTGCCATCACTCTTGCACATCTTTAGAAAAATAAGAGAAAGGAAAGGAACAAATGCCCAAAAGAAAGGCCATGATCCCCTGCTTTGGTTCTTACTTCTTATTAGCAAAAGATGGTAGTAAGATTAAACAGAAAAAGATCTAAAAAGGCCTAGCTGCATAAGTAAAGTGTATCTAGATATATATGCTCGATCCAACATTAGTCAGATAAACAGAAAATATCAATCTTAAGAGACAAAATAACCCAAAGCACCTCCCTAGTCCTTTTTTGATAACCATGGTGTTCGGGTCAGCTTGCGCGCATCTGGACTAATTCCACGGGATACCTGACACCTCCCTAGTCCTTTATCCCACATAGTATGAAAATTTTCTTATCTAGTGTATGCATCAAACTAATAAATGCATCAATTTTGCATCAACGTTTGCCACTTGACCATGGTTAAAATACACTTAAAACTTCAAATACTATTAAAAAACACTTAATCATTGATAACAAGGACTCATGAAGAAAAAGAACGAATGTTAAGCCATAACCAATAACAATGTTTAATCATATAACCTGTAAAAATAACATTTTTTTAATAATTTAAATAAAAAATACCCATAAACGTAACTTTTTAAACTGTTTAACATTAACTCCTAGAATTAAAAATACTAAATTCAGTGCATATCAAGCTGCCAGTAAATCATATACAGTTTAGTAAATTGCATATAATAACACTAAACATGAGACCCCAAAAGAAATTACTCAACCAAAAACATAAGAAATCCCAACCGAATTTTCATATACGCAGATCGAAATCATTCTTGAAAAAATAACTAAGTTTAGGCTATTTAAGAAGAAGAAGAAGAACGTACAAAGGGGTAGCAGAGTAATAGACAGCATGAGGTCCGAAAGTTAGGATTGCACAGTTGAAGAAGTGGAACATCGTCATCTTCTTCTTTCTTCTGACAAGTAGAGTAGAGTAGAGGAGATCTCAATTCTCAAACCAAGTTGCTCTTCTTTTATGACAAGTCTTCCAGCTTCAGATGAATCTGCTTAACTGGCCTTTTCGATCCACCTTGTTGGGCCACTTCTCTTTGGATATGGGCCTTGCACGGATTACGTCGGCTTTGAAATCAAATTAGAAGAAAGAGATCCAAATAGCCATCAACCCCACAGCTTAAGCTGAAAATAATCGGTGGAGAGGTATAATGTATCCACATGTATTATATATGTATAATTATACATAATTAATATATAAATTATGTATATGACTAGAAAAAGTAAATAATGATAATGACGGGCAATTTGTGTAAAAATCTCAAGTTTCATAACTAGCAGTCTAGAAAGAAGTGCTTGCGCCCAGCACTTTCTGATATTACATCCCGTTAGGCGTTAGCCAAACTAATTTACAACAGCTAGGCAAATATGTCTTAAACAATACGACAAAATCACACTTAAACACTTTTGAGAAAAATAATTTTTAAAATAAATTTATTTAAAAGCTCGATCAAACAAACCGATAGTTTATTAAATATTTAACACAGATAAACAGTACTCAGTACTCACTTTTGATATTTAAAGGATCAAAAGTACTCAATAATATATTTAAGAGATTATTTTGAACCTACACCAAACATAAGGGACTATTTTTATCATTTTCACTTCTTTTAGGAGTACGTAAATTTGCACCAAAAGTTAGTTGTTTAAGGGTGTGTTTGGTACGACGGAAAATCTTTTTTAAATAATATTTTTTAATTTTTTCATATTTGCTTGGCTTAAATATTTTGAAAAAATATTTTTCTCATGAATTTTTTTTTTTTCTCGTGAACTCATTTTCCTCCAAATAGATGAAAAAGACTTCCCAACCAAAAAGAGGGAAAATATTTTTCTAAATGTTTTTCAGCCTTCCCACCTTATTCCCCACCCCACCCTCCACCTCCCCACACCAACCCCGGCCCCCCACCCTACACCCGCCACCCCCACCCCTGCCCCCACCACCCCTGCCCTCGCCACCGTCACCCCCATCTCTAGACCTCGACCTACTGCCTTCCCCGCCCTTATCCATTTCGTCTCCCATAGTGTTTGCTATATTTTCCAAAAAAAAAAATAAAGAAATTGCTACCTAACCAAACACCAAAAAATAAGAAAATTATTTATTTTTCAAGAAAATATTTTTTAGAAAAATATTTTTCGAGGAGAACATTTTTCTTCATATCAAACGCGCCCTAAAAATGGTTAAGTTCAGTGTGCATTTATACATATATATATACTCCATAATAATTCTATAGAAAGTCAATGAACCTGAAGTCAATGTAGCAGACAAACATGTAGCATGCCGTTAATGTGTAGAGAATGCTCCATGCAATATAACTCATCCAAAGTTGTTGAAACAAACCTATAAATTCATTTGAAAGTTCCCTCACAACTTAACACATATCCTTTCTTTCATTCCCCAATTAGTCTTTCACAAAGATATCAATACATGGACACCTATTTCTTGTTACCACTCCTTGGAGTATTCATTTTCTTATATTTTGTTTTCAAAAATAAAAACTCTACATGTAAAAAACATGCTCCTGAACCAGCTGGTGCATGGCCAATTATAGGCCATCTTCACTTACTAGGCGGCGCAGAACAACTTCTGTATCGGACACTCGGAGCCATGGCTGACAATTATGGTCCAGCATTTAACCTAAGATTAGGCAGTCGTCGAGCTTTTGTGGTGAGCAGTTGGGAAATGGCAAAAGAATGTTTTACTTTAAATGACAAAGCTTTGGCTAGCCGTCCTACAACTGTTGCTGCTAAACACATGGGTTATGGTTATGCAGTATTTGGGTTTGCACCTTATAGCACTTTCTGGCGTGAGATGAGAAAAATTGCTATGTATGAACTTCTTTCGAATCGGAGACTTGATACTCTTAAGCATGTTCAAGTATCAGAAGTGGAGATGGGGATCCAAGAGCTGTACAAATTGTGGGTCAACAACAACTCTGGCCACAGGTAAAATTTGAATCATGCTACAATTTATCTACAATTTCTGCAATATGTCTTCTTCTTCTTCGAGTTTCAATCTGAATTTCAGTCAAAATCAAGTCTAATTTTCACCAAAACCCCTCAAAATTGAGATATAAACTCCAAAACATATTCCCAATTATTTTCAACAACACCCAATCAAAATAAATAATAATTTTTGAAAACCCAAATTTGAATTCAAAGCTTCAAAGCTTTTTAATGGCTGTCAATAGTGGAATTGGTGCTTTCTTGTCTCTTTGAAGGTTTGTTCTTCTTCATTGAGAAAATTTAAAGCTGAAGGTAAATGTGTGTATGAACTTTGAAGATTTGACTTCAATTTTGATGAACTTTGTTGTTCTTCATTGATGAACTTCAACTGGAGTAAAATGGGGAACCAACTTTGTTGAAGGGTTTCTTCAATTTTCTGTGAATTTAGAGGGAGAATTTGGTTTCAGAAGATGGAAAATGGTAAAAAAAAAAAAACGTGGGTATGGGTAAAACGTGGGTGGGACTGAGGGGTTAGGAGAGAGAAACGTGCAGATTCCTTTAATTAAGGAGTAAAAAATGTACAATTAATTATACCCGTAATTAATTATGGTATAGAATTGGTAATTTGATATACTAAGTGTAATTAAGTCAAACCTTAAACATTAAGGGTAATAAGGTTTCTTATGTGGCATAGGAATGTAAAAATCTCAATATTTTATTCACAATTCAACGTAGAAATCAATATATTGACACAATATTCTTTGCGTTATATGGCCTTTTTGACGAAAACTGATAAAAATAATACAGGAAATTAGTAAATTAACATAAAAGATGTTTATATACAATTTTCTTCTATTCAATTGCTCCTAGGATAATTTCCTCTAATTCAACTTTACATTTATGTTAATAAAATAATTGACATGACCTCTAACTGCAGGCCGGTGCTTGTGGAACTCAAAAGGTGGTTTGAGGATTTAACTTTGAACGTAATTGTTAGAATGGTTGCTGGAAAGCGTTATTTTGGTGCAGGAGCAACATGTGATGATAATGAAGCTAGACGTTGTCAAAAGGCAATAAATCAATTCTTTCATTTGATTGGAATTTTTGTACCATCTGATGCTTTTCCAATTCTTGGGTGGTTTGATATAAAAGGGCATGAAAAGGCTATGAAAAGAACAGCTAAAGAGCTTGATTCTATACTTGAAGGCTGGCTACAAGAACACCGTGACAAGACAAAATTTAGTCATGAGGCTAAGAATGAAGGTGCACAAGATTTCATTGATGTTATGTTATCACTTCAAGAAGAAGGGAGACTCTCTAATTTTCAATATGATGCTGATACAAGTATCAAGTCCACTTGCTTGGTATGCTCTTAAATCTTCTGTGTCATTTTTGTTTCCGCCTGCTTAAAGTTGGTTCTTCGAGAAGCAGATATATATAGTGTAATAACCTCATCTAAAAGTTTAGATTATACTTTCTCCATTTTATTTTATGCTTCATAATTGATTAGACATGAAATTTAAGAATATAAAGAGAACTTTTGAATCTTGTCTTAAACTACAAGTGTTTATAGTATATCAAAAATTACTTTTTGAATCTTGTACATCTCAAACATGCCATGTCAATTAATATAAGGGAGAATGTCATTAGGAATAAAATGAGAGTGTTGAATTAAAAACTTATTAAATATAGAAAAATAACTTTTTTTTTCCTGATGAAACAAACTAAAAAAGAAAATAAAACACATGAATTGAAATAGATGGAGTGTCAAATATGAACTTTTTTAAGTCTTTATATTAATAAATAAATTTTTGCATAAAATTTGTTAACTTATTAATTTTTCAAGTTATTTGGTTTTACTGATATAGGCAAATACCCTTAATTAAATTTGAAATATGATGTGATTTGATAGTATAAATATTTTTAAGATAATGTCATTTTTTTAAAAGTCAAAACCATTTACAATTTGTTGTATACTTAATATTCTTTTTGGTCTAGGCGCTTATTCTTGGAGGCAGCGACACAACAGCAGGAACACTAACATGGGCAATTTCATTACTCCTAAACAATCCTGAAATATTGAGAAAAGCACAAGAAGAAATAGATCTTCATGTTGGTAAAGACAGACAAATTGACGAATCCGACATACAAAACTTAGCCTATATTCAAGCCATTATTAAAGAAACATTACGTTTATACCCTGCTGGTCCTCTATTAGGACCTAGAGAAGCCATGGATGAATGTGAAGTTGGTGGCTATAAAATTACCCCTGGAACTCGTTTAATAGTAAATGTATGGAAAATACAAAGAGATCCAAGAATTTGGGAAGATCCTGATTCTTTTAAACCAGACAGATTTTTTATGAGTAATTCAAATGTTGATGTAAAAGGCCAAGATTTTGAGCTCATTCCGTTTGGTTCTGGTAGACGATCTTGTCCTGGTGTATCTTTGGCGCTACAAGTTCTTCATTTGACATTGGCACGTTTTCTTCAGGCTTTCGAGTTTTCTAAGCCTGTAGACGATCAACTTATTGACTTGACGGAGAGCCCTGGTTTAACTATACCTAAAGCAACACCATTGGATGTTCTCATTATTCCGCGCCTCAGTGCCAATCTTTATGGCTGTTGATGCATCCATCGTATTTGCCTAATTTCCTTCATTAACAACAGATACAAGCAGAAAAATTTTATTTTGTTGCCTCACGCAACTGACACTAGTTGTATGAGAATCTTTTTTTGTCTCACAATTGTGTGGGTCCCAGAATTTTGTGGACCAGATTTGTAAGATATGGGTCCACAAATATGTGAGATAAAAAGAGGTCTCACACATCTAGTGTAACTTGTGTGAGACACAAAATAAAATCACTATGGATCTGTTCCAGTTGGCTCATTAGTTCATCCTTTTTACTTAATAAAATACAACTTTGTGCTTCTTTTTACATGAATAAAATATTGGAGATGTCATTTCTCAACATTGTTGTCGCCTATGACTCTTGGATAATGTTTGCAATTTCTTTATTTTTTCAACTTTATTCTGGATCATTTAGACAATTTATCATTAAAATATGTTAAGCTGTCAAACTAGTGCAACTCTCTTCCTTAATTCGAACTTGAAACAGAGTTCAATTAGAGGCCGTTTGGACATAAGAAATTTTCTTTCTATTTTCCAAAAGATTTTCACCTTTTTCCGAAATCAGCGTTTGTTCATACAATTTCCAATTTTCACTTGAAGATGCATTTTGGAAAATTTGAAAAACTCCGAAAACCTATTTTTCAAAATTCACTCACAAAACTTCAAAAGCAACCCAAAATTACATTCATGTCTAAACATAACTCAAAATTTCAAATACTATTTTCACTTGAAATTTTTTTTTTTACCCTTTTTTGGAATTTTACAATTCCTATGTCCAAACGCCCACTTAGTGTGCAACATATGAAAGGAAAAGTAAGCGCTTTATTCATCCATTATTAACCAAAATTAATTTTATATAGAAATCAATGGCCAACAAATTTACAAACCATTTAATTATATATCTCTTACCATTACATAATAACCCCCATCTTTAGTATTCTTCTCTCTTTGCAAGGAGTGTAACAGAAAACATAACAACACTTAAAAAGAATTAGGAATTAAATCCTATTGGACATGATCCTCATGTCCATTATGCATAATAGGTGCCATTTCTGAAACACTCCAAACCTTCACAGATTTATCAAGACTCCCACTATAAAGCACCCATTTTTGGTCATTTCTTGTTGACTCTTTATCCTCTTCCACTGCCAAACATTTCACTGGTCCATTATGACCTGTCAACACAGACAAACATGTATGAACTGACCCTTCTTTTCTCCAAACACATATTGTTTTATCTGCTGATCCACTAAAAACAAGATTTCCTGCTGATTCAAGACACAAAACAGCCAACTTATGACCTTTGAGTACACCCCCATGTGTCAATTTCTTCTCTTTTTCCCAAAAATTCACAACTCCATCTGATGATCCACAGTATACAACTGTACCAGACTTGTTAACTGTTAGTGCAGTCACAGCACATTCTTGATTCAAAAGGGTATTTACCAAAACATGTTTTATAATTTTTCCTGAAAATTCCCTTTGCCAAACTTTGACAGTTCCATCAGCTGACCCTGTGTAAACTATGCCATCAACACTAGCAACTACAGAATTCACTGCATCTTCATGTGCTTTGACAGATTCAAGACATTTTGAATTGTCAGCTTTCCAAACCTTAAATGTTCTGTCCCATGAAGCAGAGTAAAGAAGGCCATGGTTATGGTCCATGCTTAAACAAGAAATGGCATCCCAATGCTTTATCCAAATGGAAGCTCTGTTATGTTTGGCTGACATGAAGTAGTTGCTTGGCCTAATTGAAGCCTTGAAAATGTCAAAGAATGTTGGCAATGTTCCAGCAGGTTTATAACTGCTAGGATTGTTAGGTTGTACCTGTTGAGATGTAACACAATTAAGTAAATGATCATTTTAACTTGATGTAAGATAACATATCTCATTATCCAGGTTACTAATTCCACTTATTATAAGCGGTTAGTTAAAGTTATCTTTTAAATGGTCCTCATAATGTAAATAATCTTCTAAATTGTTAACGTGTAGAAATTAAACTCCTTAAGTAGACAAAAATGTGTCCTCTTCAAATACTTAAGCTTTTTAGATGAGGTGGTTACGTTCCTGTTCAATTCTCAACACCACCACCACCAACAACAATAACATACACAATATAGAGCCCGTTTGGATTGGCTTGTTTTAAGTGTTTTTAAGCTAAAATAGCTTTTAATCTATTTTGTAGTGTTTGGATAAAGTAAAAAAGTGCTTTTAAGCACTCGTTTTTAAGCTAAAATGACGAAAACAAGCCAAAAGCAAAAAGTTAGAATTCCTAACTTATGACTTAAAAGCTATTTTGACTTAAAAGTCACTTAAAACAAGCCCATCCAAACAGGCTCATAGTCCCACAAGTAGGTTCTGGGAAAAGTAGTTTGTAAGTAGACATTACCCCTACCTTATGTTGATAGAGAGGCCGTTTCCGACAAACCCTCGATTCAAAAAAATATGTAAATAGAAGAAACCACTAAAAAGAAGTCGTAACCACAACCAAAAAATAAGATAACCGGATCAAAATCTTTTTTTTACGTGCTTGGACCGTTAAAAAAATCAGGTGAAGGGGCCTGTTAAAATATTCTAACACAATTAAATAGATAAAAATTTATTCTCTCTAATAGCTAAAACTTTTAGATAAGAGGTGGTCATACAATTCAATATTTTACCTTCCAAACTCGAACTTTTCCATCTTGATGACCAGTGAAAATCTTATCACCTGAAATAATAATGGCTTTAACAAGACCACTATTGGATTTGAAAGCCGAGAATTCCTTCATATCCTTCCATACACGTATATTTTTGCTGTCGGAACCCGTGTAAAGAAGACCATTTTTAGTAGCCAAAGAATATATATGGCCTTCTTCACGAACAAGTGAACCAATAAGGCAAATTTTGGAGTTATTGTTGGAAACATCCTCGTCAAATTTGTCCAAATTGGGATTGTTAAGATGACAACTTTGGTTCCAAGGGGACATTTTCATAGGAGAACCTTCACAACTGAGACGATCATAAGCAGAGAACTTTTTTTTCCGTACGCTGAAATCTTCATCATTTATAGCAGAAGACATGTTAGGATCAAACTGTTTTTTTTTTTTTGACGAATTTAAAAAGCAAAAGTCTAGTCTTAATTATTAGAGAATATAATTATGGTGGATGGCCTTTTTTGGTTGTAGCTAGTATATCATTCTAGTTCTTCCACCATAAAGAAAAATGAATAAAATTTTCAAGTTAAAATGAGAAGAAAGAAGGAAAAAAGAGAAGATGATCGAGCAAAGCGGAGAAGAAAAGAAAATGATCGAAAGCAAATGAAGCAATGGAGAGAATGGAAGGGAGTTTTTGTAGGGAATATGAAACGATGGGAGGCGGGAGAGGAGAGAATGGTTTTCACTTGTATAATATCGGAATGGGAAAGTAGGGACAGATAATACCATACTATAAAAAATAAAAATTAGTAAATATATTCACACACAATGCTATATTAACAAACAATAGTATATTTTTCCGTATCATAGTATATAATTTTTATTTTCTATATAGTATGATAGTGAAAAAATATTTACACACAATAGTATATTTTTATTCTGCCACGGTGTAAAAATTTGTCTAGGGTAATTATATGAATGAAAAAATAATGAGCAATTACATTTTGACACATATAGATGTTTAACCAAAAAATGAATTTTTAGTCAAAGCTAAAATTTAGAAGAACTCGGGTTACTGATAATCAAGAAAATGAATAAAAAGAAGTAATTCTGGATAGCAAAATGGTAATCAAGAGAAACAAATAAATCAATGTCTATTTCAATAGTCTTTCGTGTCCTTACAACTGATCATATATCTCCTTTTTATAGGTACCTTTGAGAATATACGTTTTGCTCGAATCATAATGAGGCTATTATGAGTAATTAAAGATATTGAATGCTACGTTACACAATCATTACATTCAAAATATATTCTCTAACGTATTCAGCATTTAATGCTCATAAATGCCGTATCTGCACTCTTTTCTATTGTCAGATTCATTCCTTCTGATTTTCGGATATAAATGACTTACATAGGTACGGGCGCCGTGTTACTTGTCTGATGTCCCGTGCCTTTTCCTCTTTCTTTGCTCATATCTGTTGTAACTCCTGACTCGTGGCTAATTGCGATTCTTTGACCATTTGACTAATCCACGTGTCTTGACACGTCACCTTTATATATAAATATAATTTTCCCCAATACATATAGTCCCCCCCCCCCCCACTTTCCATTTATTCATCAGTTGAATATTTGGGAAGTGGATTTCAAAAAGAGAATTTTTGTCACCATTAATGCTCTGACAAAATTGACGCTTCAATTGTCACTTCCATTTAATACGTTACACACATGTCACCCTCTTATTGGTTTTACAATTTTGCAGCACTTTCTTAGGCTTTCTTTTCGGCTTTCCTGTTCACGAAGTGTCAGTTATCATTATTATGGCCCTTCCTTCATTGTACTTTTTCCTTTTGCCGGTTACCCATCAGTATAAATATAACTTCTTTACTTGTCTTTTACCACATAAAGCGTATCGAACACTTTAATTCTTCAAATCTCTATTCATTTCTTCTTCACTTCAGTCTTCTTCGTCATGACTTCACCAAACCCTAACCCTAGGAGAACCCCTATTTTAGATAACTTCCCCAACGCCCCCATTAGGCATAGAAGAGGGGGCAGACTCCGTAGCTTGGGATCTGCTCGCGGTGGTAGCTCATCCACGCCTTCTCCTAGTTCTGGTCCCTCTTCGAGAACTAGAGGTTCCCTTTCTCAAAGGTCTTCTTCTAGGAACAAAGAACCTTCTGAGCCCTTACGAGAGCCTCTAGTTGAAGAGATAGCTCCAACAAAACTATTTTTTCACCATGATAGGGAATCTCTTAGGAACCAAGTCGCTACTTTAGATCATGCCGATGCTTTCCCTACTCAGATTACAGAAATATTAGCTCATATAGTTCGTAAGGACTGTCACTGGAGTAGTGATTTTCCAATTATCATTCCCAATCCAAATCAGAGGATCACTTCCTACATGATTGGATTCTCCTTTGTTTATACATACCCTTTCACTTTAGGGTTTAGACCAGCCATTGACCTAGTCATTCTAGATT